CCCGAAATCACCTAGCGGAGCTAACGAAATCATCATATTTCCATTCCGAGGTCGTCTTCACACTGTTTCGACTACGGACCACTTTTCAACACTTAAGCTCTCATTTAGGGACTAAGTGTCCCAAAACTCTCGGAAACTCAACACCGAACGTCCCGGCAAACCAAAATAGAAGAAATGAACTTAGGGGAAGCATTTAATAGGGGATCGGGGCGTTAATTCTTAAGACGACCGGCCGGGTCGTCACAAGGGCCTTCCCGTATTCTAGAGATTTCGTCGGACATCAACCATTTGGGCGATACGGAGGACCTGGTGCCGCAGTTTGACCTCTTGTGCTCCGCCACCGAGAGTGCGGCTCTCCGAAACGTTCCTGATATTGATTTGATGCACGAAGTAGCCGCTATGGGCTTGAGGGTACGTTTCACTTTCCTTTTATGTTCCTTTCGTTTTCTTGCCGGCCTGGCCTTAGCCCCCCTTTTTCTCTCTCTCTCTTTTTTAAACGTACATGGTGGAGATTGAGAGTGCTCACAGAGCTGATACTCGAGCCAAGATTTTCCTGACGATGCTGAGGAAATATCGGCGCTATCGCAATAAGTGCCGTGAGATGCATGAGCGGCTGAGGGCGAACCCTGATGCTCGATCCCTTGGCAAGGAGTTGGAGAAGAGGGACCAGCAACTGATTTGAGGCTATCCGCAGGAGTAGTGTACTCGAGGAGCAACTTCGTGCCAAGGATGAAGAGCTTGAGCTGGGTAAAGGGGTTGCTGCAGAGTGCGAACATCTTCAGGAGAAGTTGAGGTCTATGCAATCAGAGATGGATCAGAACTTCATCGGGGTCGAGGCGATAAGCGTGGAGTGGATGGGAAAGTTGACTGAGTTGGAAAGAAAAGTTTCCGGTTTGGAAAGTATTGAGAGTGCTTGGTCATCGGCTTTGGCGAGGACTGCGGCTTTAGAGAACACCATCCGCGTCCTCTAATCCGAGCAGGAATCGGAGAGGGCGACGGCTACGTTGAGGGAGGCGAGGCTTGAGGAGCGCATTGGCTAGATCGACCGAGAGGCATCGACCCTAGCGGACCGGGTCGCTGCTCTTGAGGCCGAAAAGGAGAAACTGTTGGCTCAAGCCGAATCTTCCTCCGTCGCTGCTCCTCGTCATTTGCACGAGCTTTGGGTTCATGCCGAATCCCAACGGGACATCTACAAGAGTTTGTGGGAGGCGGGCAAAGTTACTGAGGCCGCATATGAAGGAGCACGGGCGAAGGCACGGGAGGCTCATGTAAACTATGGATATGACTCTGCAACGCCAGAAGCTGATGAGGGTGCGGGTAATGAGGAAGGATCTCCTAGAGAAGGTGCCGAATGAAAGAATTGCTATCTTTGTTTCTCTTCCTCTTTTTTGTCTTTTATTGTTGTTTATTGTTCTTTTCTTGGACTCCGTTGATTTAAGTTGTAGGTAATTTGTGGTTGTTTGCGCAGTAGCTTTGTATGGAGAGGATTTTTTTTATTGTTACACGCCTTCTATACTCCTTTTCCTGTTTTGCTTTTCGTAAATTTGATGCAAAGTAGATTTCTGCATGCTGACCTCCCGCTTCTTAGGGGATTTCAAGGTCGCTCGGTTTGAGTAGAGCCATGATGACGGCTTTAGTTGATGGGACGGTATTTTTCACCTCGTATTGAGGTGCTAATCTATCAACGTCCGAATGGTATCGAATTCTCTTTCTAATAGCGGCCTTAGCCATAGGGATTTTATTTTCGAGCTTATATCAAGGTATCATCCCGTTGCGAGTCCCGGTTATCTTCGGCGACGGCTTTCGGTCTTAGGGGTATTATTTCGGATTCTTATCAAAATGTGCGTCTGTCATTGTTCGATCGAGGTCGAACTCTTCTTTTTGGTGGAGGCACTTGGCCTTAAGGGTGTTATTTCGATCTTTCGTTGAAATATTAACCCGTCGTTGTTCGATCGAGGTCGAACTCTTCTTTTTGGCGGAGACCCTTGGCCTTAAGGGTGTTATTTCGATCTTTCGTCGAAATATTAACCCATCGTTGTTCGATCGTGGTTGAACTCTTCTTTTTGGGGGAGGCCCTTGGCCTTAAGGGTGTTATTTCGATCTTTCGTCGAAATATTAACCCGTCGTTGTTCGGTCGAGGTCGAACTTTTCTCTTAATCGATGGCCTTAGCCATTGGGATGTTACTTTCGAGCTGGCGTCGAAGTAGTATCCCGTCGTAAGGGTGGCGCTCTATTCTGTTCGTTGGAGTATCATGGATGCTAGTTTCATTCATACATTGAAGATTTGTTGGAGTATCGTGAATGCTAGTTTCATTCATACATTGGAGATTTTGATTATATTCTTGTAGGAAACACGTGCTGACTTTGTACGTACAATGGAGATTTGGCTATCTATACCCAGTCCCTTCATTACTCGGCCTGGAGATCGTGTCGATGGGCGGAGTGATGAACAACACTTTGGACTTCGAGGCGTCTCTCTTGCCGCCTCAGTAAAAACTTCACCGAGAAAATCCGATTGGGACAAAACCCGGATGAGGGAAAAAGAGTACGACTTGGGAGGCACCTCTTTTCAGAAGTGGGAGTATTTGAGAGGTGCAACATTTTTTTTTTAAAAAAAACTCGGTTGTTTTCTTTCCGACGAACTGAGGTCCGTTATCACAGCTAACCTCTTCGGGAATGCCGAAGCGGCAAATTATGTTTTTTCGTATGAACGCCATAACTTCTTGATCACGTATTTGAGTGTATGCACCTGCTTCCACCCACTTAGAAAGATAGTCAGTTAAAATCCAAAAGGGGGTGTACCTTACCTCGCCCTGCTGGGAGGGGTCCGACAATATCTATCCTTCGCTTTATGAATGGCCATGGCGAAGTGACGAAATGCAAGAGCTCCTGTTTGGTGTATCATAGGGGCGTATTTTTGGCACTGCTCACATTTCCTGATACAATCTGCGACTTCTTCTTTCATGGTAGGCCAGTAGTATCCTTCGCGAACGAGACATCTGACAAGAGCACGGTTTCCCGTATAGGCGCCATAGTGCCCCTCGTGTGCTTCTTCTGCAAAGGTGTTACGATACGGTTGTGCCAGTCCCGAGTTTAGGTTTATAGAATGTACCTCGACCTGGTCCATCGAGGAATGGAGAAGGGTTTTCCTTGATATTTCTGGTGGCTGCCGCTAGCTTGGCGAGACCATCCGCTGCGATATTCTGCGCCCTGGGTATCCGATCGAGGTGGCATTCGTAGCAGTTTGTGAATTTCTGACTGGTACTTCTGTAGTCTCTATTTTTTGATTTGGAAAGTCCCAGTGACTTGATTCGTTACGAGTTGGAAGTCGCAATGGAGGGCGAGTCGTCGAGTGCCATGTTTAAGGGCTAATTTCAACTCTGCAACCACAGCTTCATACTTGGCCTCGTCGTTAGTCATCTCGGGGTACTGTGTGGATTAGCGAGTCACTCCGCCCGTAGGGACTTCAGGGATGAGTCCCAATCTGTTTAATTTTGCTTGCGTCAGTGAGCGTGATACCGGAGGGCAGGAAACGCTGCTATTTAGCTCGCACTCGTTTCATACATATATTGGAGTTTTCCCGTCTAACATTTTCGTTCCCCGATTTTGAGATGTCATTGGCGGGTGGGACGATGAATTATGCTTTGACCTCGGGGGGGTTCCTCCCTGTCGGCCTGATGTTTAAGTCCTCAGGAAGGCTTTCTTGGGACATCTTTCGTTCGAAGTGTATTACTTCCAAGGCGTCGGGTTTGTCTGGTGGACGATATTTCAGTGGTTCTGTAATAATTTCCTATTCTTCAGTTGGGACGTTTCCTTGCTTGCTCGCCCGTGCTACGGTTACGTTCTTGTTTGGGCAATCAGCAGAAGGGGGGTTAGGATGATATCCTCCTTATCGCGATCTGATGAGTTGGTGAACGAAGGTGGATCGGTGGCTTTACTTGCTCTGCTTGACGCTCTGATAGTTGACGATGATGGTGTTTTCTGAGTTTGGTAACCGTATTCGGTTCTCTTTCCCTTCCTTTTTGTGCCTTGATTCAGTGCGGGCCAGGCTTGTTTTGACTGGTTCATGGGCTGCCCGTCGTGAGGGGGATGATGTTGGTTGCAACTCCTGTTTGTATATAGCACCATGATCTAGGCTGGTGTGTGAGATTCGCTTACCGTTCTTCTCGGTGAGTGATTGTGTTTTCTGTTTTCGATCTGGAGGAGACTAGGATGTTTTCACTAAGAAATCCCCACAGACGGCGCCAAATTGTTTGACTCAAAAAGATATTGAAACCTTTTTAAATAAATCAATCAAAGAGAATGAAGAGGTAAATCTTAGTCAAGGCTAATAACCTCCAGATCTATAAACGAATTGGAAAATAATGCATGAAATGAAACAGGGATAGATCAATCTCATTGATATTTTTCATTTCTTGATTCATTATTCGATGAAGATCACTGTTTTTCGTCTTCCATGGGAAGGCTCCTCTTTCTAAGAAGATTACAGAGGAGAAATCAGATAGAGAAGAAAAAAGCCCCTTTCCATGGGAAGGCTCCTCCCCTATATATAGTTATGGAATTCTCACTATGGGTCAATACAAATTCGCACGACGTTCGCCTTCGTCGTTCCCTGAGTGTCGTTCTTTGTCACGGCGGGCATTATGAGTATGGGATTTTGGAGCAAACCATGTCGTCCTTCACTATCTCGTCGCTTGGACGGGATCTTGGCCAGGCCGACTGCAGCGATCAGATTTTGACCAATACAAAGGTTTTTTAGTGATTACTAGTAACAACTAAGAAATTCACCCGGCAAACCACCAAGGAGGCGGATTTTCACAAGATTACACCTAAGTAACGACAACCTTTGTGCCGGCCAAATGTTACAACATTTAATTTGCTATTCATTTATTTTAGCAATGCTTCTACAACGTTGTCCTTCTCAACCCCTCTATGTTCAGCTAAGAATTTCCTGCATTGTCATTCGTATTGGAGATTGCTTTCACTAGTAGAAGCACACGATGGAGAAGAGATTCAACAGGAACCTGTCAAACGAAAGCAGGGGATCCTCAAAGAGCTTACAGAAGATAATTGCAGAGAGCAAGAGGCCTAGTACTCATGTCCCTGACTTAACTGATTTTATGAATGACATGTTTTTCGGGACACCAAGTCCTGATAAAAAAGCATATAATCTGAAGGGAATAAGCACGAATTTAATGGACGATGAAGACGATTTTGACTCGAGCACAAGGAGCGTTAGCAGCAGATTAACTCAGGAGTGGCTGCAGGAGGCTAAGCAAATGGTGGCTTCATCTCCTGGTCGTGGAAGTGAGTCGCCCCCAGGTCGGCTAGTGGTTTCCCCTAGGTTTGCAACATCTCATGCTAGAATTTCAGATTCTCCAACAGAAGGGAGAGATCCCCTCTCTAGGTCTGCTAGAAGGTAATTAAGAGCTCATCTTTTTTGTATAAGCAAACATTGTTGCGTTTTGAATAGATCCATGTTGTTTACAATCCATACCACCTTTTTTTGTTTGTTTAACCAAACACTTTATTTGCTACGACTGCAACGGAACTCTACAATTATGATCAAATTATACAATTAAAAAAAGGAAAAGCCAAACATCAACAGCAAATTTAAATAGTTTTCATGGAAAAGTAACTTAACATTTTTTTTCGCTAATAACCAATCTTGAGGTCATGATTTTCTTCTATTTATGTTCCCTAAGTATTTGAAGTGTAACTGCTTAGAACCTCAAAGCTACAGACTACAAGCTGGAAAGAGATCAAGAGTATCCTAATCTGTCCCAACCAGCTCTAGTTTTTGATTGACAAAATTACTCTCATTGTCAGTTGGCCCAACATTCTAACAAAATTGGGCCTATATTTTCCCTTCTTACCCGGTATGGCCCAGTTTCTATAATGTTGAAAATTTATTTTCACCGATTAGCCACATTGCCGCCCCCACTCTTTTTTTTTTATGCAGAGAAAACTTTTCCATTCCCAAATTCTCTTTCAGATTTTCTCCCCACCCCACTTTCTCTTTCATTTTCAATCTCTTGCCCTTTCTCTCTCTCTAGCAAATTAGTCGAGTTCTTCTTCAGATTTCCTTGCTCCGTTCATCTGTATCTTCCTCTTCCACAAAATAATATTGTTGAACAATCCACACCGGATCTATCTTTTGTAGTCTTTTTCTTTTCGATTCAGTGCTCACCGAAGCAGATTCCGACTTTCACATTAGAGGATCCTTTTATTCCCGTTTGAAGAAAAAGAAAATATTGAGTGGTTCTTTCTTTTAATTCTTGTCTCTTATTCTAAGTTATGAAATCTCCTTTTTCTTTGGTAATTTTTCCTCCTCCTCCTCCTTCTTCTTCTTCTTCTTCTTACTTTTAATGACTTCTGAAGGGAGGAAGAATGATGTATATGTTGTATATAACTATATATACTTTGTATAATCATGTATAACCATGTATATTTGTGTGTATTCTCATAGTTATATAGAATTATACATGATTATACACAAGTATACAAGATTATACATAATTATAACCATGTATATTTGTGTGTGTTCTCATAGCTATAAAGAATTATACATGATTATACACAAGTATACAAGATTATACATAATTATACAACATAGATAATTGTAAAAAAATTGCCTTCAGATAGTGTGTATTATTATATATTTATGTATAATTAACGTATGACTATGTATAACAATGTATATAAGGTGTTTAATAATGTAAATTTTAATTTTTTCCAGGGAAATTAGAATTTCCTTACAAAACTTTGAATTTTGCAAAAAAAAAAAAATAAAAAAATTTTAGACATTAAGGATGAATATATTTTTTACTTCAACTTCCTCATATTGTGAATTTTAGGAAATACTATACAGAGGGAAGTAAAAAATAAATAAGAATGAAAATGGAAAAGGGAAAAGATAAAAATGNTGACTATGTATAACAATGTATATAAGGTGTTTAATAATGTAAATTTTTATTTTTTCCAGTGAAATAAGAATTTCCCTTACAAAACTTTAAATTTTGCAAAAAAAATATATAAATAAAATTATAGACTCTAAGGATTAATATACTTTTATTTTTTACTTCAACTTCCTGATATTGTGAAGTTTAGGAAATACTATACAGAGGGAAGTAAAAAATAAATAAGAATGAAAATGGAAAAGGGGAAAAGATAAAAATGAAAGAAAAAAGCGAAATCTGATTTAGGCGTGATTTTGGGTGTAGTTGACGAAGTTGTGGGTTAGGCGGCTGAAAATTGTTTGTGGACTACCGGATGAAAATCGTATTCGTGGGTTAGGCGGCTGAAAAATACTTTATCCAAATGTATTTATGTGAAATTATCCCTTTTTGATTTACTTCACTAACTTTTTCTTATAAGCATTAATGCGGGCTCTAAAATTTACTGATTAAAATGTTAGTATTGTTTAAATATCTGGCAATAAGTTTTGACCCATAAATATGCAATGCATGTTAGTTTTAAAAAAGAATCTTACCCAAACTTGATGTTTACACTAACCAAATTAACTTATCATGATTAATAGTCCGTTTGGCCAAGCTGCAAAAATCAGCTTATTTTGAGAAGTGCTTTTTTTCAAAAGTGCTTTTCTCAAAAGTACTTTTGGTGAGAAGCAGTTTGTGTTTGGCTAATTAATTTGAAAAACACTTCTGAGCAGCAATTAGTGTTCGGCCAAGTTTTAAAAAACTGCTTCTAAGTGTATTTTTCTCAAAAGTGCTTCTCAAAAAAGTGCTTTTGGGGAGAAGCTTACTTTTTCTGCTTTTCCAAAACTGCTTCTGCTTCTCCTCAAAAGCACTTTTTTTCCTTCCAAAAGCTTGGCCAAACACCTCAATTTTTGACCAAAAATTCTTTTGGCCAAAAAAAAGCTTGGCCAAACAGGCTACAAGTTATAAACTAGTTTTATATACTTATTAATTCGTCATGATTAAGTATTTAAAAAGTGTGTGCAGAAGAGACGTGTCTTGTAATCAGTGATTTGGTGTAAACACCAAATTTGAATAAGCTATTTTTTTCCACTTAGGTTCCAAAATGTACTTCTTTCGAACCTATTTATTTGTCACTTTAGGCTTTCACACCCCTTACAATTTTTTTCATTCTTTCTAGAATTTATTAGAGTAATAACCGTGAAATTGAATAGAAACAATTAATCTCTTGTTAATTTTCTAAAAGAAAAAGTATTTTGGAACAACAAATTTTAGCAAAAAGTTGCAAGTAAATAGGGCTGAAGGGACCGCTGTTTAAGTATTAAATGAGTCTACCCTAATGTCTAAATGTAATTCAATATGCCTATTTGGCACCTCTAAATTCTAAACATAAAGTTCTGATTTTACAAAATTTTACTAACAGGAATAGATCAGTGGTGGGCTTCAGTGAAGAAATCCTCTCAAAAACAGCAAAACACAACCGCAACAAATCAGAGCCGCTAATTAATCCTCCTTTAGCCGGCACATCCCCTACATCAAACGTTCAAGATTGGTTCTCCAACATCTTCAAACCTCCAAATGATGGGCCCACCGCCGGCACAACAGAGCCCACTTCTCCCAAACCCAACAATGAGCAGCAGCAACCCCCACTCACCCTCCCACCCCGCCAATCAAACAGTCGCAGGACGCGGTTCCATACAAACTCCAATGCACCTCAACCACAGTCTATTCATTCTCCCAAACGAACTTTCAAAATTCCCGTCACCGGCTCAACGGACAGTGGATCACACTGTTTAGACGACAAGCCACTTTCTCCACCAAAAAATCTCATCGAGTCTTCTCACCGGAGATCGATTTCGTCGACGACATGCTCGGTCCTTTCGCCTCCAAGGAATTTGGTAGAGTCGGTTCATCGGAGGACCATCTCCGCGTCCACCTGTTCGTTCGACAAAGTTTTGGGAAAGAACATTAATAATGTGGACAGAGATGAAGTGAAGGAGGAAGATTTGAAGAGTCATGAGTTGAATCGATTCTTAAAGGATCAGAGAGACAAAATTAACAGCATTTTTAATGGAGTCTCGAAAGGGAAAGCCAAGATTGTGCTCTCTGGACCTTCCAACAGTTGAGTTCCACCAGATATTTTTCCAATTTGAAATAGATACGTCTTGTGTTATGCTTTAGGTTTGCGCTATTTCACTGAGTGAGTTGGAATATTGTAGGTACAAGCTCAATGGTGGCAGCAATTTGCTATGCTTGGTTATTAGAAAATAGGATGAGGGCTAATGAGCAAGGAGGAGGAGAAGCAGATGCAAATACAATAGAGGTGGTAGTTCCTGCAATGAATATGACAAGAAGAAAAATGTTGAAGGAGAGGCAAGCTGCATGGCTTTTTCACCTTGTTGGTGTTGATGCCAAATCTCTGCTCTTCTCTGATGAGGTAATATACTAGTAGCAAGACCTTGAGACTCTTGACATGAAGTTAATTTCCTTTGTTGTCAAGTTTGCATGCCTACTATGTGTTTTGATATTGTATGTGTAACTTATGAACTGTGAACAGAACCAAAAAACTAACTAGCTGAACTGTAACATTATACTCGGGGTTTCCATGTACATGCACGACACACAATTAGATAGCAATCACAGATCTAAGTATACATCATTTAGTAATTCATAGAATACTTAATCTCCCTAGAATGTCAGAAAAGATGTTGCAAGTTATACCACCAGTATCGGGACTGTGATCCTTTGACAAGCTAATGCTGATCTTTGTTATTTTGGTTTTGAAAAGGTTGATTTGGAAACACTACTGTTGGGTAAGCAGCTAAGCATCCTTGTAGTTGGGGAAGACATACTCCAAACTAACGGAGAGGTACTTATAATGTGTTTCATATCTCCAAAATGAATGATTTTAAGTTACAACACGGACAGAAAAAGGCTGTAGTATAATTGGTGAAGCTCTCTAATTTTTTCTCCTGTCATCTGTCATACTTGTAGGCTGTATCAGGGTGCACTGTTCTTACAGACAATTACTGCGAGGATGCTTATGACCTACTTCAGACGCCTATCTTGAAAAAGCTTCTGGTACTAAATGAGTTTTACTCCATTCCTCACATTAAAAATATAAGAAGAGGAGAAGCACATCTTGAAATCTGACAATCTACTTCTCAGCTTGCTGGCATACTTTTAGACACACAAAACTTAAGTGCATCTTCTAAGGTGTCGATGACAAGAGATGTAGAAGCAGTTCAGCTGCTTTCAGTTGGCTCCACCCCAAATTACAGAAATGCTTTTTTTGACCAATGTATGCTTTTTCTTTGCAGCTTTTGTAATGTGCATGAGATTATGAACAGAGATTCACAACATTTTTGTTATAAGAATTGAAGTTCATGATTTTCCTTGCAGTGATGCTAGAACAGAAGGACGATAGTTTCTTTGAAGCCATGAGGCAGAGTTATGGAAATTCACCCATAGAGAGTAAGTTCATTGACAAATCTTGGTGATTCTTTTGCCTACTTGTAATCCCAATATTGAATTTGTTTAGCTTTATTTCACTCAACATGATGTTGTCTACACTTGTTTTCGTGTTGCAAACCCCAAAACTGAATTACCAATCATGATTACAGATGGCCATAAGTATAGAACACAACAGATCTTGGAGAGGAATTCCATTCCTCAAGAAAATACACCAAGTTCAGGTAAAATTTCTAAGGATGTGAAGAACGGGAAGACAAATAGAGCGTCACCAAACTCAGGTACTTCACTTCATTTATCCATCTATGCACTTCATGTTAATTTTAGTTGAAGACTTGAAGTAATTGTTCATGCACAAAGATCATATCGAGCCTTCGCATTCCTGACTTCAGACTGTCTAATTATTATGATTGTAATTCAGAGAATCTCGAAAGCATCAGAACAATTTGTCACCTTGATCAAGTTGGAGCTGATTGGCTTTTGGTCAATGAACTTTTCATTAGGCTCATGCAGATTTTTGTCCTTAACATAATTCATAACTAGGAAAGTTTCTATAGTATCTGTATAACTTCTTTTCAATATTTAGTCTAATGTAGCACAACTATATTAATGATTCTGCAACAGTACCTTGCAAGGGAACACATCAATGCTCCCACACAATCACACAAGTTATTTCCAGTTCTCTGGTACGGAGAGTAATCCATGTGCTTATTCAAAGTTGCTCATTAATATATGAAACCATTTTAGCAACTGATCTCCCTGCAAAAGTTAAAAACAAAAAAAACAAAAAAAAAGGAAGACGAAAAAAGGGAATGATTCAGATTCAGGATGCAGGTCAATTTTTTCACTTCAGAAAGCTCAAGTAGAAGAATGCAAGAAAAAAGTGATTTTTCCTCTCGGTTCAGGATAAATCTGGGAGTTAGGTGAATTAGCAATTAATTTGACAGCTGTTTTTATTCTTAAGGAAGTTCTTTACTCACTCCACCCAATAGAATATCCTAAACTTTGGACACTTGTCAGAGCCTCAGTATAAGATTAGTAAAATATTAGTGTTATCTTTTCATTTTTCCATTCCTCTTCTGGACTACCTGATTGATCATTGAATATTAGTGCTAAGAATAATAAGCTGTCATTTGTCAATACGGGTCAATCGGCTAATTCTTTGTGTTTTCATACTAGGAGGTAAACCTACAATATCACCTGTACAGGCTCCTGCAGCGTCACCAGCAAAACCAGGCGATGCTTCTCGTGGCAAGAACAAGCCGTTCTTCTTAGCAAAGTGGTTTGGCTTTGGGAAGTGAGTTATAAGAACTGTAAAAATATGAGTAATTTCTATCATCCCATTTAGTCAGTAAACTGCTAGGCTCATGGAAAGTGAATTTTGGAATTTTTTGGAAAACCTACAAAATTTGTACTGAATTTTTTAAATATATGAAGAGCAGTATTTGGTAGTTGGTCTTATTTAATTAATTTTTTATGTGTAAACTGAACCCAGGCTGTTGCCAGAGCAGTTTCAGTATCAATGATAACTACAATGGTTTACATTTGTATTGTCTTGTTGATTGTTTTCGGGGAAATTTCTTCGCATCTTTTGTAAGACTCTACATTATTAATACTACTTTGCATTACTAATCTAGTATTTGATTTCCAGCATTAAATTTTCTATAACTAATAATTGCATTCTTATAGTAAGCTTTGTGCATAATATTTTATACGAGATATAACATGACAAACAATTTTTTTTTTTAATAAATGTCTACTTTTAATTAAAAATAAAATAAAATATCTTTTCTAACGAAAACAATATTATGATGACACTATCACGTAAGAATTCTTTATAAGAAGTCTCCAGCAACTCATTTCACTTGTTTTATTAGCCCGAGTCGATGCATTTCTGCTAAAGCTCCAGAATATAAAATCCCCCATCCCTCTATTATTTCTTTGTCTTATCTTGTGAGCTATCTCATTCTGAATTCGACCTCTGCCCACGCCTTTTTTAAACGATGATAAATAATGATTGTCAAATCATTGCACAATTAAAACAGTGAAGAAGAAAAAGACTATATTTTACTCCTCATCTGGAAAAAGTGTTTTGCCATTAGATAGCGTTTGCTAAATGAAGAAGTACAGTGAAGAAAATGCTGACAATATATTTTCTATATATAGAATTTATAAGACAAAAGTATCACAAAATAATTGCTCACTCATCAAAACGAGAGTTGAGAAAAAGAAAGAAAACTGTGGGAGAAACGAACATGAAGATGCCTCTTGATTGAGCAAATAATTGGGCATGTTATGTTATCCAATCTGTCTTTGTCCTCCAATTATATGCCCACTACTTTTTCACAAACAGCTGTAACTACCTTGCAGCCACAATGCACAAGGGTCCCAATTAATTCCCATGTGCTTTTGCTCTTTTCCTCTCTCAGCTGTCAACCCAATCCTCCTTCCTTTTCCCCACATTCCCTACTACCTAATTAGGCCATGACATGAATCTCATGTTTTCTCTTTCCCAATTATGTTTTTAATGATAGATATAATAACACAATATTCACCCAATGTAAGTTTCTCATTCTACCTTCCAAGCATAAAGAAACAGGCAAAAATCTGATGAGTTACTTGAATTTAACCCCTCTAGGGACCCAGAGCTCCCTGTTTGGGATGATAACGGAGTTGATGTCGATGAAGAGAATGGTGGTGATGATAATTCTGATACTGATGAAGGAGATGTGGATAATAAAACTGGCCTGAAAATAAACAAAGCATGTCTTAAACCAGGATTGAAAATCCAGTCATGAACATCCCAATAAACTTCTATCCTCACTTTGTTGAGATGAATGGATTCATTCCCTCTGAATTTCCACTGCAAATGCTTCACATGAATGAATAATTTCCCATCTATCCTTATCTCCATTTCTGGATCAACCCCATCAATAGAAATTCCACTACTGTTAATTCTGTTCTTGCACTCAATAGAAATCTCATGCATTCTGCCCTTATCATGGAATTTAACTCTTGTTGAGAACTTCTTCTTGCCAAAAATATGTTCTTTTCTTGATACTAAAGTTGGTTCAATCAGTGCTGGTCTGCAGCCTGTTTTTCTATAAGCATCTTTCTTCAAATCGCCGAGGAACAGAATAACTTCTTCATCACATACCACTGCTACATAGTATTCTGAGCTTGGCTCCGTCTCACCATTAAATTTAGCAGACTTAAGATCCCAGTAGATGTCAACTGGCTTATTGTCCAGAAGAAAATGCTTTGAACCTTGTTTCCTCCAAAAGTACCAGGGCTTTAGCTCCACCTTGCAAGTATACTGGCTATCACCACTGTTTGAGCCTTCTACTGACACTGACAAACCATGGAGCAACAAGTTTTTGCACCAAGTAACTGTGATTAACCGACATTGATCAGCAATTTTTGTCCGATAAACGGACATAAAAATGCTTTGCCCTGACCTGGTTACTACAGTATGATCATCTGCTGACTTATCCCCTGCTGAAAAGCAAGCAGGGATTGAATCTTGCATCATTTAGCTGTTGAATCTTGATTGGCTCTTAACTTGAAAGCCTTATCAGAAGCAAGAAAGAAGTATAGTTTGAGGAGGATAAGTTATTTTTTGCAATGAGTATTGGCATAGAGAAAGAATCCTAGATGTTAAATGTAGAGAGTCACAGATGCCGCCAGAGATGATCTTGGCAGCATTGATGAAATACAATAATAAAAAATATGTAATCTGAACTGGCAAATAGATGGCAGATGAATGAGAGTGAGTGAAAGAGCTAGCAACCCTTTTTATATTCAATTATCTGATGTTTATCTTTCCTGGCATTTTTTTTTCATTTTTCTATTTGGCCTTGTTTATTAGTTATTCTAGCTTTCTTGGTTACAACCCAACAACAACAACAACAACAACAACCCAGTAAAATCTCACAATGGGGTCTGGAGAGGGTAGAGTGTACGCAGACCTTATCCCTACCCAAGGGGTAGAGAGACTGTTCTCGATAGACCCTCGGCTCAAGCAGACGAAAAAAACAATATATCAGTACCAACAGCAGAAAGCATAAAAAATAATAACAGAATCAAAAGTACCAGAAAATTGATGAAAAACGATAAAAGTAGCACGTAAGAAAGGCTTGGTTATACCCCATTTTCCTTTTTAAAAGCTTTTCAAAAAGACAACTTTTTGAACGCATGGTAGACTTGATTCTGGTCACAGTTAAAATTACTCATTTCCATGCAATGTTGAAAAAGCAGAGAAGACTTCTTCACCAGATCTTAAGTTTGTACATTTTTATGCACACCGAGGGTAAAACTATGACCAGTCAAAACCAAAAATGGGATTTCCAACGAATGGTTCTTCACATTCTGTTACACTTATTACTTTAATATGTATAACATAATTGACAGTTTGAGTTGAAGATAGTTGTGAAGATAAAAGTGGGAATAGGAGAGGAATCTAACTTAGGGGACTGAAACAAAGCAGAATGAGTCAGTATAATTAGGTGAAGTGTTTTCAGATCTGGTCCAACTCAATCTTATTTTGTTCCTTAGCTTCAAGACAAATAGAAAATGGGAGCAAGATAACAAAGAGGACTGCTCATCATGTGTTGGATCTGTATTGCAAAGGTATCATGAATAAGTAGGCGTTTGGACTTTGGACGTAATTTTCATTTGGAGTTACGTTAAAAAATGATATTTGGAATTTGAAATTATGTTTGGACGTGTATTTTACTTGAAAAAATGTTGCAGTTTTGCAGTATTTGGAATAAAAATTGTAATTTTTTTGGTTCTTGAAGAATTCATTTTCGAAAAATTTCCAAAAACTTGCAAAATGTTAAGGGCAAACACATTTTTGAAAAAAAAAAATCGAAAAGAAATCTATGGACAGATGGGTCCTAAGATTTGAAGGGAGATTGATTTAGCTCAAGTTCCAAGATTTGTAGTAACAATACAACTAATACAGTAACACTTGCATACATTGGACTATGCATACTTAGATTAATTAAAATGAATGAAAAGATTAATGGCAGGGGAAACATCAGCTAATCATTATATTTCATCATAGAACGTGATTATTGTTCCAATAAATTACTATGCTCTGAACTGTCATGGTTTGCCTTTTATCAAACAGTAGGAGATACCTCCTATATTTAATGTGAAACATTAAGTGCAATTTAGAGGAGAAGTTTTATTGTGTGTCTCACACAACTTACATTCGTTGTGTGAGACTCTTTTTTGTCTCACAAATTTGTGGACCCCAATCTTACACTTTTGGGTCCACAAAAATCTGGGTCCACAAAACTGTAAGACAAAAAAGATGCCGCATACAACTAATATCAGTTGTATGAGACAAAAAAAAATTTCAATTTAGAGCTGCTTTTGGTTGGATTGCAAGTATTACTCCCTCTAGTCGTCAAAGAAAAAAAAAAGGCAAATTACCAGCTATGTCCATTTATAAGTAGTTCATTACAAAAATTGGCCAATTGATAAAATATTACTAATATTAGCTAAATTAGCCAAATTAGCTATTTGTAGGAAAAAAATATCAAATTTTTGCTTTGTTTTGAGGGTGTTATTAGAATAGATTGGGCACAACTTAAGGAGCTTGAATCTCAGTTTTGGGATGATTTGGTGAAGTTTTGAGGTGGTTTGAATTGAAAATTCGAAGTAAAAGCTGAACATGAAAAAAATGATATGTGTATCACACTGTGTATCATTTGTGTATCATATTTGTATCAATCGTGTATCACATGTATATCCATGTATAACTGTGTGTGTGATACATGCGTAATACATGTGTCGCAGAAGACTTTTTTGAACTCGATTTAATTACGAATTTTGATACAAAACCAGTCCAAATCACCTCCAATCTTCCTCAAATTTTGTATATTGACTTATCTATATATTTTCAATGAATTTCAACTATACCCATTGAAAAAGTTTCTTTTTTGTTTAGATTTTTGGAATATTGTATAGATTTTTGTATTTCATCACCTTATTTGCTACCCCGTCCATGAAATTTCCTTTCCGTCTTGTATCTAATGTTGCTAATCACGCTTAAAAATATGGAAGGTGATTTTTGCATGTGATTCTTTGAGAGAAAGAACCCTATTATTTGGTTTTTCAATTTTTGTTGGCTAGTTTTGGTAAGTCTATGACTAATGGCTAGAGGTTGGTAAGTTGAGATTTATTTGGGACATTTGTGTAAGTTTTCCAGAAAAATATTGGTCCAAAAATATTTGTAATTTTAGAAAAGTAATCTAAAATTAAGAAGACATTAATTGCTTCTTTTTTTTTTCAATTTCATCCTTACTATTCCAAGAAGGCATATACTCCCTCCGTGCACTTTCACTTGTCTGCTATATTAAAAATATATTTTTATTTTTACTTATCCAATTTAGCAAATTAAGAGAAAGACAATCTTTTTCATGTTTTACCCTTATCATTAACTACTCATTCCCTAAATTATTTCTCAAGACATTTTGAAATTCG